CGGGGGCTGAGGCCGCGCCTGGCCTGTGACATGAAATGGCGTCTCCCCCCTCGCAGAAGCCGATCCTGCTGCAGGGCCATGAGCGCTCCATCACGCAGATCAAGTACAACCGGGAGGGAGACCTGCTCTTCACCGTGGCCAAGGATCCCGTGAGTGCGACGGGCCCTGCCCGTTCCCCCAGCCTCCCACCGCGGTAATGGGCCGGTTGTTCGTCAGTCCCGTTAATTAATCCGTTTGGTAAGACGGGGGGTTTGGTTGTTTCTTCTCCCAGATTGTCAACGTTTGGTATTCAGTGAATGGAGAGAGGCTCGGCACCTACAACGGCCACACAGGAGCCGTCTGGTGCGTGGATGCAGACTGTATCCTTTGATGGCCGAATCCAGTTTGTCCCGTATTTTTCTTTCCCGTGATCCACTCATTCCTCCCAACTGCTGCACTGTTTCCTCTTGAAGAGGAGCATGGGAGTGTCACAGTGCATTTAACCCTTCTGCTATCTTTCCCTTACTCCGTCTTTTGGGTATTTTTCTTCCCGGGCTGTTGTTTGGAATAACCTGTGCAGCATTGCCCTGTATGCTCTCGTTGGCTTTTGCCGTGGTGGCCCTGGGAGCTCAGGGAAGGTGCCCGAGTCTTTTGTCTCCAATGTGGGCAGCAGGTAGAGGAGTCAAAAATGTACAAAAGTTGTGTTAATGCAAGAGCTGGAGCCTTTTTCTTTAACATTTCAAAAGGAAAGTTGTGGATTTTGTAATGGGAACGCTTGGATTCCGTGTCTGTCCGTGCTGGGGTGTGGTTGGTCCTGGAGTCTCTGTGTAATGCAGCTTTTTGGTCCCGTGTATAAATATTCTCTGGGTGTCTGGCGAGTAGCTTTTTGGGGCCGACCATATGCTGATATTCCCTAACTGGTGACCCAGGGGACACACGACATGTGCTCACCGGCTCTGCGGATAACAGCTGTCGGCTCTGGGACTGTGAAACGGGTAAGACTCCCCCCACGTAGCTGTGTTTGGCTCACAGCTCTGTCCCGCCGTGAAGCCTGCTAAGCTCGGAGGACGTGGTGGCAGCATAAGACGTGCTGGTTCACCCCCTGAAAGAGCTCTGAGCGCCACCTCAGCCTGCTGGAGGGGAGGGTTGGTGTATGTGCCTGGTTTCTGGTGAATATTGAGTGAATTTACTCACTTTACTGCCCGAGCAGTCAAAGTGCCTGCGGGTCACCCAACCTGCTTGTCAGCTGCGCCCGATGCTCTCATCCTCGCTCTGACCCTGCCGTTCCGCTGGTCTTTGTCACTCCCTTTGCCATGAAATACCCGGCGAAGTGACTGTTTCTGCTCTGCCTTCAGGAAAGCAGCTCGCTCTGGTGAAGACCAGCTCGGCGGTGAGGACGTGTGGCTTCGACTTTGGAGGAAACATCATCATGTTTTCCACGGACAAGCAGATGGGCTATCAGTGTTTCGTGAGCTTCTTCGACCTCCGGGATCCCAGCCAGATTGGTGAGGAATCCGGGCCAGTGCCTGCACCAGGGAATAAGGGGAAGCGTTGATCACCGGAGCCGGTGCCACTGTGTCTGTCTGTCTCCTTCCTTCCTTCCTGCAGAGAACAACGAGCCTTACATGAAAATCCCCTGCAGTGACTCTAAAATCACCAGCGCGGTGTGGGGCCCTCTGGGAGAGTTCATCATCGCAGGCCATGAGAGTGGGGAGCTGAACCAGTTCAGCGCCAAGGTCAGTCTGATAAGGAGCAGCATCTCCCTGGGACAGCGGTGCCCGGGGGAGGATATCACAGCATTCCTGGTGTGATCGTGGGACAAAATACGGGCTTTTTGGTTCAAACCAGCAGCCTCCCGGCAGGGTAGTTAAAATATGTGGCTCTCTCGAGCAAGGCTGATGTACCAACATCTGCCCCACTGCTGATAGCGGCGTCTCCTAAATTGTTGTTCGCGGAGGAGTCGCGTGTACGCTCGCTTCGCCTGCCAGCACGCTGCAACTGCTTCCTTCACCCTCCAGTCAGGGGAGCAGCTTTCAAACATCAAGGAGCACACCAAGCAAATCAACGATATTCAGACCTCCAGGGACATGACCATGTTCATCACGGCCTCCAAGGACAACACAGCCAAGGTGAGGCCTCCCGTCCGAAACGCAGTGGGCTGTTGATGTTTGCTTGCAGGACCTCTGCTCAGAGCCGTGGCTGTCACGGGGCTTTGCTCCTTCAGGATTTGACTAGGTGGAAAGTCAAAGCTTAGGGGGAAGGTTCAGTGAGAAAGGGGAGGTGCCACCACGTTATGTTAACGGCCAGGCACTGAAAACAACATCGCCAAAATATATCTGCAGTTTGCTGCCTCCAGAAGGTGCTAGAGGTGAGATTTACCTTAGGGCAGTATTTTGGGATTCTGGGGAAATGTTTGTGGGGTTTGGGTTCCCGTGAGTGACTGTAGAGCTAACGTCTGCCCGGGTGAGGCCTAGCAGCCAGGCTTGTGTCATTTAATTGGGCTGCCAGCCCCCTTGCAGAAGAACTCTCTCCCTTTTGCCTCCTAGCTGTTTGACTGCACGACACTCGAGCATTTGAAGACGTTCCGGACGGAGCGACCGGTGAACTCTGCTGCGCTCTCCCCCATTTTTGATCACGTAAGAACGAGCCCGCTCATCGGAACCGTCTCGCTGTGACTCCTGCGTCATTCCTGGGAGCTGAAAGGCGGAGTGTCACCAGTCCAGCTAAAAAACAGGACTGGGGGATGGGGCTGGGGAACTTTACTGTGCTCTAGGGCAAGGAACAAGGCTTTGTGTCCTCTGATCTTCAAACGAGTGTGGCTGGGAGGTGGGAACTCCTCTGGGGCTGGTGTCAGGCCTGCTCGTGAGTTGGTGGGGTCTGCTGGGTTAGCAGGAGCCTTCCCCGAGGCTCGGCTC